CGTTCTTTGAGGTGTTTTGGGAGATGTCAGGAGTCCTGGAGCGTCGACACTCGGTGATTTCAGGCTTTTGGAGCGTGGGTTTTCGTCCTGAGCGGCCTGGGCGTGGAGATTTGGCTGCCATGGTGGCATGGAGCTGCAAAAGTTCTCTTTCTCTCCCCCCCAAGTTCTATATAGCTGACAAAGAGACCGCCGCTTGGAATTGCGATGATTTGTCCTTGGGAGTTGTGCCTCAGTTCATAGACCTGGACGGAGTGAGTAGAGCATAGACCGTCTGATCCGGAGACCCGATTATCCCAGGACTGGGAGAACCTTGTTCGCCCAAAAGTGCCCACCTTCAAAGTGTCTCTGAACCCGAACCGTCAACATCCTAACAACATCTAACAGCAGCAAGAGCTCGGAGCACGAGCTCTTGAGTTCCCGCCTTCGACCGCCAGATCTCCGCCATGATCTCCGCCACGGCCATTCCCACGAGCCGCACGGAGGTGTCTTGGGCCGCCAAGCGATGCTGCACGCCTCCGAACGCTCCGAACGCTCGTGCTGAGTGGCTGGGAAGGGATCGAAGGGGTGTGGGAAAGACTACACATCGAAGGCCGGAAAGAGTGGCAAAGCGGCGAGCCAGCGAGCTACTTCGAAGGCTATACCTAGATCATCCCTGATCTCAGGTTTTCTGGTCTTGTTCTATGGTGCGCCGCAAATTGTTTGGGAAAAGTTGTGGTCCAGGTAGTGTGGTTGTCTCTCTGAAAAATGCGATTTGCATGACCCAAAGATACCCAAAGCTCTGATTTAAGGTTTGAGTCTAATCAAGCATAAAGGAATCAACTTGGAAAACACAGATTCATCAGAGTTGCCTTTGACCGCGCCCATTTCCAGGAACAAGTCGTAAGACATTGGATGCTTCAAAACTAGCGCCAAAAGCAGGCTAATATAGACCCTTGATGAATAGTACGCTGCGTGTGGATTGCAAAAAACGCTTCATATGGGGAGTTGAAATATAATCAAGAGTCGACCTTTTACTGCAGGATGTTCTGAAAGCGTTGGATCGCAGTGCTGGAAAAAAATAAACGTGGCAACCACCAAAAAGGTCCGCCCATTTGTAACGGCTCTGAGGCTCTGGGTGGTCCAAACACAGGCCTCCTTCTTAGAGGCAATAAATGAGTGAGCTGACAATAGGGAGACCCACTGGGGAGACCCCCAGCTTTGACCGGGCAAAGCAAATAGCAAATATCGACTTAGAACTTAGAACCATCTCAAACATTCTCAAACATACCAAATCCCATTGGTTGATAATTAGATTGCTTGGCAAAAGCAACCATGATTCAAACCCCTGGGTTTCGGTTAGGGGATCTTCAAAATCGACCATCGCGCGGCTTTCGGTCCTTGCAGAAGCAGCCCCCAGTCCTCGGGTCTCGGTTCGGCAAAGAGTCGATGTGAACCACACTGGGAACAACTTCACAGGTGTGACAAATCTCTTGCCGAAAATAGACTTCGCCAGAATTCCCTCTGAAAGTCCAGTTTTGGAAAATCATGTCGGTTTGGCAGAGTGTGGCACCCCCAGCACTGCGGGATGGAAACATGCCCAGAGTTTCCAAACCCTGAAAACTGAGCCAAATCTTTTAAGATCTTTTAGGTGAGTCATCAATCAATATATTTTGTCCGCATGGACTCCTCCAATATCTCCAATCTTCTCCACCATGAGCCAACTATCATCCCTTTAGTATCTCCCCATCCCATCCCCACCTGCATCGGCGCCCGCACCAGCGCCCGCGCGATCCGCCAGCCCAGCGCACGCTCGAAGTGGGCATCCGAGCGTGGCCCAGAGGCCCAGCCCTTCAGCCACTGCCGGGCGACCTCCTCTGACCCCTCGCCTGCGGAGCGCCAACGCGCGCGGACGCGGAACGTGTGTCACACGTTGGCAGTCCTGCAAAACATGCGTAGCGTCTCTTTGCTTTGCTGAGGCTGGGCCGGGTGCGGATCCCCGGCCTTTAGGTGCACTGATGGAAGGAACACCTTGCGGCAGTCCATCATCAATCTGTCCACGTTGGGTCCGTCCATCCTCCGGTCTCGGAAACATCGCCTGCCAATCCTCTAACCGTCGACCACTCCACACTCCGGAGATCCCGGTCGCCTGCCAACAGCAAATCCACCACCGCAAAGACCACCGGCGCGGAGCTTGCGACCACCGCATTGCTCGTGCGCCAGAGATGCACCGCGAGCAGCTCTCGTGTAGATGAACTCGTGCCTAGCTCAGCTCAAGCACTGATGGTGAAGAGCCGTCCAAGGAGGTCCCAAAAGCTGAGCAGGGCAGTCTCGGAAGCTGTCTTGTTCTCCATGTTTGTTGCTGGGTTGGGAAAATTGTGCAGAATGGGTTAGCAATTGGTCAGGCAAACAAGAAGCATTGGAACTTTCATTCCATCACTAACTCAGCTTTGGTAGCAGAAATGTCCAAAGGCTTTGGTGTTGGATCCCACTTCCCCTCGACCTGGCGAGGGGTCGACCGCGGTCGACCGCCGAGTTTCGGCTGTCGACCGCTCGTCGTCTTCTGTGCCCGGGCGGCCGGGCGACGGTCGTTGACCGTTCCGTGCGCTGCGTTCGCTAGCTTCGTCACAGCTGCTGCGTTCGCTCACAGTTCACACTGGACAACGCCGGGGGTCAAGAAGTTCTGCAAGTATCCCACAAAGAGTGTTTGATGGAACCCCCAGAACCCCCGCAAACGCTTTAACCGGTCCTTCTCCCTGGTGGCGGACACCGGGTCTCCGGACACGCGGTCTCCTGTTTGGACCAGAACAGGGATCGGCACAGACCCGAAAGTCCAATGAAAACCGTGAGCGAGCTTCCATGGAGCGAATGATAAGCTACTCAATTGAAAACTGAAGTGAAACCCCGCTTTTCATGGTCTACACCTCTCAGTCCATAACATCCGGGTCAACAAGAAATCCCCAACCGATGGGAGGTCGAACTCCCAAGGGTTGGGAGGCGATGGATTTAGGACCATATTTTGGGGTGCTTATTACACACAAATATTCTGACCGTTGATGAGTTTCTTCTTGTTTGGGGCGATCCCGCTTCCGAGCGGCGAAGGTCTTGCAAACAAATGTTGTTGTCGTCTTCAATAACAAACAAATTGTTGATGCTGCATCTCAGCGGCCGACGGACGGGCCCAAGAGCTCCAGCAGGAGCTCCACGGCGCCACCGAAGGCCACCTCGGTGTCCCGGAACGGGTGGTTTTCGCGGCCGGTCCGGAGCAGGAGCTCCGGGCTTGGGCCGTTCTGAAAGCCCCCAAAAAGGGGATCCGATTCGCCCGCATTCATCGCCCGGCTCCCCCGCAGTCCCCTTTGACTGTGGTGCGGTGGTTGAAAAAAGGTCGGCCGCTTCGTGCCTGTCGACTTGCAAATCAATGTTTTAAAACATCCAGTGGGTGTGTGACTAGGCTTACATGTTTTGATGCGGAACTTGAAAACCAAGTTGTTTCGCTCACGCAGGCGAGCTGGCAGATCACCGTTGATGGTCTTCATCCGTCTTTCCATTTGGTGTTCCTCCAAATAGCGCACCCAGAAAGAGCTCCCTCTAGTATTTCCTTTGGATCTTTTGGAGGGTCAGGCAGAGGGAATAATAGACGGAACCCTGAGTTCTCCATGACCTTTGGAGGGGTCAACCAATGGCTGTTTTGCCGACCAATGGCGGTTTTTTGCACCTCGTGCAGCAACAAAAACAAGTAAGAAAACTACGTAAGCCACTGAAAGCACTAGCCTGCGTGAAAAAAACAAACATGTTCAGCACTGCTCGACACCTCCAAGATACTAATTGCGAGGAGCTGATCCGTAAAACAAGTGTTGCGGCCTCCAAGATGGCAGCGACCAGACTCCTGCAAAGCAGCAGCTTGAGTCTAAACCCCTCAGCCTGCAGCAATGTTTGTTTCAGATGTTTTATATACAATACATCTTTCCGTTTCGGTATGTTGCGGGTCCCTTGAGCGGTCCCTTTGATCCTTTCTTGCGGCTCCTGCTTGCGACATGCTCCTCTGAGAGCTTCAAGATCACCCGCCCCATCAACGCTGCAGCCTCTCGTCCACCCCTCAGGGATGCCGCACAGACCTCCGCGGCCAACCTCGCCGCGTTCCCGCGCAGCGCCAAGCGTGCCCACAGCTCGAGGGCCGTCGTCCAATCATCGGTCTCGGTCACTAGAGTCGAGGACACAACGGCAGCCACCAGGCGTTCCACGTAGACCGAGTCAAGCCAAGATGCAAAGTCAGCACACAAAGTGGTTCCGAAGGCTTGTGACACCCGATCCGGAAGGCTGCACAGCCATCCAGCACACGCATGCGAAAGAACTCCATCAACACGAAAGGTGTCGTGGTTCCCGATTAACGCACTCACCACAATCTCCAAGAGTTTTCCTTCGAACCAGATCTGCAACATCCGGATTGGAAGTGCACAAGGGCAAGTTGATTTATGTCGAAGCCCTGACAAAGCCCCTCCTAAGACCAAAGCAGCCATGTGCGGATGCTCCTCACCAACAGACACAACTGCTTGAAAGAAATCGGCCAGAAGTTCTTCCAGATCTGGCGGTACGGCGCTTGCAGTTAAAGAGGTTTCAATGGCGCATTGAGCTATCGACCCCGCATCCTCACCTTTCCCAGTTCGCAGCAGCCCTTCCCAATCACTCCTGGAAACTGAGATGTTTACAAGTCGCTCTGCCAATTCTTGTGGGTCTTGCGCACCCGCCAGTTCTCGATGAATGTCTTCCAGGTCATGGTGATACTTCGCAGCACATGGCTGAAGCGCTGCCATTCCAGTAATTTGAGCAGATCTTTCAGCAGGATATTTGGGTCCGCCCTCCCCCCCCCCCCGCAAAGCATCAAGTGATCATGTTCGGTCACATCCTCGATAAACAAATGTTCCGCCGAGTAAACAAATACTGATTTAGTAGACACGTGTCAAAACCAACTGTTCCTCTCAAAAGAACCCTGAAGAGGAGTGTCAAAAATCATAATATAACCCTACAGATCCCTACAGTATAGCTCTGTGCAGCGGTGGTTTGCTCAAACAAATGCAGCCAAACGCACCTGGTTTTCGCAACGTTTCAGGGCATTTTGCATCTTACCACCATGCTCTCCTGCTCTACAAGACGCAGGGTGGATAGTGGCTCCCGACTTTCCCAGCGCGAAGGCAGGCCGAAACCTCCTGAAGTAAAAGGACGACAGCATATGCAGCATATGGTACACCCATGTACACCCTTGAGTGCATCATAAAGCCACAGGAAACTAATGAGACCCACCATCAATCACCATCTCTTGTCGTTGGGATGGCCGGATGGACGACTTGCGTCCCGCACTCGTAGCACGTCTGTGCTTTCAAGACCCGGTGGGGTCGAACAGCACGGAGGCGTAGGCGACGTCAGGGGAGGCATGATTGGCACAAGGCACGTCCTTGGATGGACCAAGGACGCGGTTGATTTCAACATCTCTCCTCCAGGCTGATCGTATGATATCTCATGCAGGAGAAGAGCCAAATATGCCAAACTTGAGGCCAGAGGGGGTGAACGAAAGCTAGCCGGGCTTCCGGTGGTCTGCTGCTGGTGCTGCTGCTGCTGGTGCTGCTGCTGCCGCTGCTGCGCTGGGCGCTGCTGCGCTGGGTGCTCTGCAGGCGCCGGGTCGTCTGCTGCTGCTGCTGCTGCTGCTGGCGCTGGGTGGTCTGCTGCGGCTGCTGCTGCCGCGGCGTTGGGTATGCTGCTGCTGCTGCTGCCGCTGCTGCGCTGGGCGCTGCAGATGCTTGGTGTGCTGCAGCTGCTTGGTGGTCCCGCTCACCGCGCGCAGGGGGGAGTCGAACCGCGGGGGGGGGGGGGGGTCCATAAGATTGATTTAATCAATTATTTGAGGTTTCTGAGGTGCGTCCACCCCGTCACTTAACTTGCTAAAGCAAGAGCAACTCCAGCTAGCTAAGGCTAGCTTTCGTGATAAGACCTCGTCCCATGTCTAGAAACTGGATGTCCGTGTCAGCGTCACGTCACATGCGGATCCAAAACAACAGATCATAGCAGATCCCTCCAAAAAAAGGAAGGAAGCACCACCTCCAGTGGAAATCGAATTGAGTGCTTCATGGACTCACCATCCACCATTAGCCAGACCAGACAATTGGGACTGGCATATGCTCCATACATTGACCCCTTTCGTCCCCACCCCAACTGATCGGTCCCATTCGTCTGGTCTGGGGGGTCCCAGGAAGTCCCAGTACCCCTCGAACGACCAAAGCCCTGGGCCCTTCACCCCCAACGGCTTGGGTCAGGTCGCGTGCCCTTCGGTCCCGGCCATCGAAATACAGGCTAAGGCCTGCGTGTTCGGAGGCCTCGGTCGTGGCCGTGGCGATCGGTGAGGAACGAACGAGCGTGAGGGACAAGGGGAAAGACGAGGAGCGAGTCCATCGCATCGTTTGGGTGGAGGTTATTGGACAATCTTGATGCGATGGAGGACAAAGACGAAGACCAGTCCTTTTGGACTTGACTCCCGAAACAGATTGCATGACTCTAAAAAACCGAAAGTGCCATGTGCGGCAAGTCTCCGAAAGCTCAGAAACATACACACACGCACACACACTCAAAAGAAAAACAATAAAGCCCCCTGCCAGCACTGGGAGAAAGCAAGGGGGGACTTGGACTCCAAGTACAAAAATGCAGGAGGGTTCATGATTCGCCTCACTGTGTTCCCTCCCACCGTCCTGGTCTCAATCCTGCCCAGTGGCGGGGCTGCTTGCGGCACGCCCAGCGGCGCCAGGGCCTGCAGCACGTCGCCCAGCGCTCGTTCTCCGTCGCTGACGATGGCCATCAGCACGATGGCGCCCACGGGGACGCTATCCACCCAGAGGTGCACAGGCAAAAGACCATCAGGAGACCTGGGTTCAGGGCTGAAGGGAGGTTTTTCTGGGGAAGTGATACGTGAGATATTTGGTTGATACAGAAGGCGCCTTCTGGGAAAATACACCAGTTCTGCTTTTGTGAGATGTCGAAGCACTGGAATGTCCTTCTTTTGAATCGTCGTGAATTGACGGTATAGTCCACAGCTACATTATTACTGTTGCATAGTAGGAACATATACAGTAACAAGTTTCAGTTCTGCCACTTCCTACCAAATTGGTTTCGACATAATAGGGGCAGTACCGGGGACTTGCTGGATAAAACATTGTAAAAACTGCTACTGTAAGTCAAACGAAAGAGACAAGATAAACACAAGTTGATCAGTGACCTGAATGAATAGATTCTGCACTGACATGGTCCACATCTAAAACGAGCCAGGCATAGCCAGGGGTTGATCCCTGCACCCTGTCACACGCTTGGTGTGTGTTCTCTGCACGGGTTGATCCCCATGGATCGTTCATTTGCCGCTGCTTGGTGCTGGGCCTCTTTTGCCACCAAGAGATGAGATGCCGAGCGGCAAGTTGTCCAAGGAGAAGGTTCTGGCAGCCGTCTGTCCCTCAAGCTTGATGTAAAGCCCCGAGACGTCAAAGCCCTGCTCTTCATACACGCCTAGGTTGGTTCCTTCAGGTGACTGCAAACGATGTGAACACCGGATTGTCACGGGGAAAGAGAAAGAAAGAACGACAACCCAGTTTGACAATCACCAATTCAAACAAGAAAGAACAAGCCAACCATTCCATGGATGTTCATCCCAGATGCTGGTTGAGTCCCGCAGTGACACGAAGTTTGCTTCAGACGAAGTGCTGCAACTTACCGTCAGCTTCACTAGGCCTGGGATGGTATGAGGTTCCAACAAGGAGCCCCAAGTTAGCGCCATTAAGAAAAACGACTGATTGGCTGGATGAAAGGCTGTGGCGTTGGATTGGTGTGCTTTCTTGCGGACGAGGGCGGGTATAGAAAACCACCCTGGACCATGCCCTCTTCCTTGTCGTTATTGTGAACATGTCGTGTGAACATTGAATTCTCTCTCTCTCTCTCTCTTTCCCTCCCCATCGTTCGTCTCCAAAGGCATACCTGGATCTTCAAACGGCACGAACTTTTGCCAGAAACATGTTTGAGTAATCAAAAAATTTTAGGGGTCGCAAACATGTGCTCAAACATCCATGGACGGGGAAAGACGCCATTTGGACACCTAAAGACGCCATTTACTGTAGGATACCGGTTTCCGCCTGGTCACCGAGTCACCCCCAAAAAAGAATATAGAATGTCTTTGGGAAAAACACCGTAACATCATTTGTCTGGAAAAGGCCATTATTTGTGCAGGCCATCAATACGTTTCGATGATTCAGGTATGTTCTCATTCTGCTATGGAGGTGTCTCACATGTAGGTGGGTGAGAAAAGAGCACAACATGTCTCCTGACCAGTCACCTTCGCTTCCAGCACCTGCAGCTGCTTCACCACCTTTCTCCGTCTTCTCGGCTTCTGTCCACCAGCCCTTGGCCAACAGCCGCTCGAGACGGGGAGCGGAGCGGCTTCGCGGGGCGAACGGACCGGATCCGTTGACGGATGTGGAAAGTGGAAACACCGGATGGGCCCTTCCAAGTGCCAAAAGACAATGAAACTGAATGCCCAAAAGGCCTATTCATCCTATTCACTGGGTGAGCTCATTCTAGTTGCGCAAAGAAACCGCAGCAAGCCAAGCTGCTGCCCTGAACGGACGCTTCCACATGGTGTTCTTCAGGCGTAGCTCCCGACCCACGGGACCCGCGCGTACACGTGGACCCGATGTGGAGAGCAAGGTGGGCTGGAAGCCAAACTCCGTCTCCAAGGACTGAAAAAGATCGAACCATTCCTCAGCGGAAGGCAGTCTTCGCCACTCCCTCGCCACTCCTTCCCACTCCTAAGAGATGCACCTGGCCCACCTGGCCCACAACGTGCCGTCCGAGTTCAACGTGCCTCGTGCTCGGACCCCGAGAGTTGGAGATTGCAGCCGGTCCGCCTGCTCCGGAAGTGGAGGAGTGGAATGTCTCAATTGGTTGGGCCAAAATGGGATTGGTGTTTGAACACCGAAGGTTGGGTTGAGGCCGACCCCATCGACTTCTACCATGGGGTAGACTTTCCCGCCAGGTCGCCGTCAGCACCGAGGACAACAACTGCCTGGGACCATGGGGGCTTCACAATGGCGAAGCTGAGAGAGTTAGAGGTCAGGGTCTTGGTCCGAGCTCGGTGGGGTGTCATCGGTGGTGGGTGTCACCGTCAGTCTCCGGATGAGAATTGGTTGTTTCATGTTGTTTCCATTGGGAGAGGCTGAGCTGGGGCTGCTGGATGTGAACATCTGCCAAAAAAAAAAGTCATATCCAAAAAACAATTGCATTTGCAAGCAGCACCCATGTGTTTTTATTCTGTGTAGACGTGACCTTGCAAGAACCAGCACCAGCACCAGCACCCAACCAGTTGCAACAGCGGGAACCTGCACCCAGTGACAGCAGCACCGACACCCTGTCTCGAAAGCGCGCACAGCCAGCTCAATTCTTGTTGAAAAAAGAACATGTAAGAACCCCATAGCTATTGCTCAGCTCTCTGGGGGACACAAATAGAAACCACCATGGCCTCTTCCAAGTTGCATTGCGCCACCCGAGATGCTCTCAGGGATCGGCAGCCATTCCACTTGTTCACCGGTGCGGCGCTGGTATTCCCCATCCTGCGGCGGCACCCGGATGGACGGATGGAAGGATATGTTCAAAACACAAAAGCTACACCTCAATGGTTTATGCAAAGGGGGAAGAAATGCCTACTTGAGGCCAAAAGGAATGAGAAGGAGGCCACCTAATTCAAAGGGGTTGGTCATGGTTGGTGTCTGCACGATGGCGCGGCGCCTCAGCACTAACAACACAAGCTGCGCCCTACGAAGCCCCACGGATTAGCCCATCAACGGTTTTTCGGACGCAGGGGCCATCCGATGACAGGGATCCCCGAATTGAAGCCAAGAATCTTACGGGAGCAACATCCAATGACATGGTGGCAACACAAACTGTTTCATACTACACTCCCTGGAATTATCGAAATTGGGGCCATTTTCCCATCTGCACCCTGGATGATTCCAGGGAGTGTAGCATGAAACAGATCGGCCTTTTGTTGAGAGGTCACGCAGGTCCACCTGAGAGCTGTCACTCTACAGCAGTAACTTCGATGATCGGTCGGGCCACTTCGCTGGAACTTGCCGTCTGAAGCTTCGGGGGGGGCCTCCCTGGGCAGAGGAAGGCCTACAGTACAAAAGGAACCAGCAGCAGTTCCAAAGGCACCCCAACTCCTGGAGGTCACCATTACTTCCTTTGGTCAGGTGGTCAGGTGGTTGTTTGATCACCGAAGTTCTAATGCCTCCTTTTGGGGGTGCCCCCTGATTTGCGATTGGTTGACTCTTCAAGTTGTTAGACTCCTAGATTATCCGATAATTATCATGTTTGACCTGCCAGGATGATGAATGACCTGCAAGTGAGCCCTCAGTAAGACACTCGATCCACAGTAAAAGGGCCCATCACTGTGGACCACTTGATCTACTAACCGTGGATACCATCACTTGGCCCACTTGTGATGGGCCACTGTTACCCACAGAAAGCCACTTAATCTATCACTGCTGGCCCATCTGAACTCCAACCCATGACGTCTACGGATGAGCCCTCACCGGTCTCCTCGTTGAGCTCGATCCCAGCCATGTCCCAGCCACTGGCATGTGACTCGAAGATCTTGGGGTCGCGTTTCACCCATAGCCAGTAGCCTCAGGAAAGAAGAGCGAGGATGAAGGGCCGGGCACAGCAACTCAATGTTCATGTGTTCTGTAGTCATGCATGTTCGCAGTGTTTACCGGAATTCCACTCCCGTACCTAACATGGACCTGCGGAAAAGAAAGCTGGACTCTGTTCTTTCACAAGCCCCTAGCTTTCAGGCGGGCGTGTACATTGTTGACCAGTGTGCCTTCTTCCAGCCACAGGTTCCCCATCACGAAAAGACGCGAACCCTGTGGCAATCAAAAAACCGACAAAACCTTAGGGATCCAAGTACCTTGTCAGAAGGTGATTGGAGACTGTTTATGTAGGTTTGGAGGGTCCAAGTACCTTCTGAGGACGTACTTGGATCCCTAGGGAAAGAAGTCGTCCGTTTCCGGACGAACGGATGAAGAGAAAAACCGGACGCATCGCCATGGCTCGGTGGTTTGGAGAGGAAGACCCTGACGTGGCCTTCCTCGCCTCGCTTTGGGACCAATGAAACAAGCGATGGTACCTAGCTGTTCTTGGAGGAGGTCACTCACTTCGGTATCCTCACGGAAGTTTGGACCCGCCCTGCAGAAGTCAAGTCCGGTGTTGTCCACCTGACACCACCCGCCTCTCTCATGGCCAAAACCCCCGGATCGGTTCGCTCGCCCCAGATGTATCATCGCCCAGAGGCCCATGAATTCCTCGGCGAAAAGCTTCACATACTCCTCGCAGTGGAGCACCACAGTGCTGTCACAGTGGAGCCACCGACACCCACAGAGCACTCCCGGTAGTTCATGAACGGAAGATAGTGAATGCGACAACGTCACGGGGACCATGCCAGGCGACCACATCACGGAGTCGCCCCTTTTTTTGGGGCCATACGTCTGATACGTGGTGGGAATGGCTCAGAACGCAACCCGGTGGAGCATTGGCGCAGTACTGGTGGTGCAGTACTGGTTTTTGGGTGCTCGGAGTCGCGCTGAAAAAAAAAGAAAAACAGTAGCCCCAGTTACTCAGTAAACGATCCTTGTGGAACCCGACATGGACGGCATGAATGATCCCTAGGTTTGACCACACCATCTCTTTTCTGCTGGCATGAATCTTCTACCGTGGATCCCAGCAGCCACTGGGCAACACGGGTGGTTTGGGGCAACCCCACCCGCTGACCATGTGTTGCCCCATCCAATAGCAATGAATGCTGCAATGCAGAGCAATGCATGTCGTCGAATTTGACCATCTCTCTGACCTGCATGGTTCATGGCCCCTCTGGCGACGGAGTCTTCTGCGGCCGGGCCCTACATCTATATACAGTGGTTTCAAGAATAGATGGCACAATCCCCCGGGGGTTGCGCCATCTACTCTGCGCACCCCCTCCAGTCTCTCAATCTCCAAGTGCCGAAAACGCGCGCGTTTTCCACGCGAAAGGCGCTCCTCATCCCGTGCCCGGCTGGGCCAGAACTCTTTCCAGGTCTCATCCAAGACCCGATGCCAAGGCTTGGCTGTTGGCTTCCCCGAGTAGTGCACAATCCTTTTTGGCCATGTTTGGTCAGGGCAAGGGGCAACGAGGTGACGGTAGGAAAGAGATGAACCGAATTGGAGAAGCCGTGGCCAAAAAGGGATATCTTTCTGAGTGGTTCCCTAGTGATGTCAAAACAAAATCACGGGGTGGGCAAAGTGTATCACAATGCATCCATATAAATTGCACAGTTGTATGTTACCCATCAGCAGTGCCAATCACATAAACTGACTGAAGACAAAACTGAACCCATTTTCTTGTGCGATCAAGTGTAGTAATGCTTGGTCGCGATTTTGTCTGCAACATGCCCCCATGAACCAACATCTCAAGTAGACAGTAGACCCACAATGAATTTGCAAAGAACCTTCCGTATAAGGGTGCAAAAGACTAAAGTACAAGATTGGAAGATCTCTATTCGAGGGCAGCTCTTAAGCCCAAATAGCCTCGAAATTGAATCCAAACGATTTCTGTGCTGCTGGACAACTTGTCCTTGTACCCAAGCCGCTGAACGATCAGCCAGCCGTTGGTTGGACACCTCTATCCATGAAACCCCGCCAGGAATCTTGATATTCTCGGGGTTCTGCAACAAGTTGGCCCTTTCAGCGTATTGCACCCTGTCGGGGTGCAAAGCGAAGAACATCCTGAGACACGGATGGAAAGCACGTTTCAGCGGGCACACGATCAGGTCTCATCACTGAAACTTCTGAATGGACTCCAAAATGAAGAAAAAACGAACCAGGGGTTCCAAGGGTTCTGCGGGCAGTGCCTGCTTTGGGCGCATGAGGAGTTGACAGAAGTTTTTTCCGAATAGGAATCGACGAAGAGGACACGCCCGCAGCGGAATGGTCCAACATCTACCCTGTCCCAAGGCATCCAGGCAAACCACTATAGCTGGGAGTCCCAGTGGTTCCAAAGACTAAAACCATAGACCAAGAATCCCGGGTTCCGTATATAGTGGTAACTGGGATGCACTGCGTGTGGCTTGTCTCATCGTCAGCATTCAACATTCAACATCACTGTAGAGAATCGAAACGATACATACACGGATTGAAAACCGAATCAATGCTAACAGCTAACCAGGTGCTCCTCACAAACCAAGACTCTGGTGCAACTGAAAGTTGTACTGGGCGCCGATGTATGTCCAGGGTGCATCAGCCCAATAGCGGCTCAAGTAATCTTGCTCCGGCCCGTTGCCCTTCACATGTTCCTGCGACCCATGGCCAATGGAACCAAACAACTTGGTGCTTCAGACAGTCTACTGCCTGAAATAATCATGGAAGTGGAAAACCACCTGTTTTGTATTCCAAACATGGTCTTTCCAAGGGGCCATTGGGGGCGTGCGACAATGTGAACCAGGGAGCCAACTCATTGTCCCAACACCGTGTTTGATACTAGTTACAAGTTGCTCATTGCTGGACCAGGAGAAGGAGCAAGGAGGAGGAAGAGGAGGAGGAGGGAGGAGGAACAGGAGCAGGAGGAGGAGGATGAGAATAAGAACATAACGAAGCATGACCTATTATAAAGCCAGCCGTCGTCCTTTTGGTTTGTTGTCAAGTTCATTTCTTGCGAGATGACTCATTGAAACCATTATGCTTTCAAGCACTCCGGGGCTGAGACATACCACCTACCTACTCCCACCTCGCAAAATCAGCCTTTTGGGTCAAAGCCGATGTGACCGGTCCGCGCACAGGTCACCACGGCGTGCCGGTCGCGAGGTCACCCGGTCCGGGTGATTGGGTTCACTAAGCTCTGCAAGCATTTGATCCAGGACATCCTGGCACGATGTTCGGGATACGACGGGTACGAGACTCGCGAGTTTGCTCCACCATGAGAAGAAACACAGATCTCCTGCTCCAGTGACAAGATCTATAAGAAAATGGTAGATCCCAATCGGGTCCAATGGTTCCTCTGGCCTCCCGATGCTCCCGATGCTCCCGGAGCTTGGGAGGCCATAAACCACACTCGGATAGGGAACATGTCCTACAGAATGCTGAACTATCAGAAACTATCAGGATTGGACAGCCGGGAGTTCATGCATGTCGTACCATGTCACAAAGCTTGGTCCTGTTTCGCAGCGGCGCCCTCGCCTGAAATCGGCATCTTCAGCCCTGAGACTGATTGATGGATGACCTGTCCCTTTGGGTTAAAGATGCGCTCTCTCAGCCCCGAGTAGAAGAACCTCCACTGAACTGAAGCAAGATGCGCTTTCCCTCTCCCTGGGGCCGAAATATGGACATGGATGGACATGATCCTATCGAACTGGAGTTCCGGTCCGTCAGTTCCATCTCAGGGAGACCTCCAGTCCTGGTTGGGCTGCCAAAGCATCACCCCAGCATTGATACCAGTGCCTTGGCCCCAGGACCAACGTGGCATGCTCTTGTCCTGGCGGATGGTGGGGTGTTTTGCGATGTGGGTGTGGTGTGGGTGTGGGTCTGGAGCTGGCGACTCTGACACGACCTCATTGGGGCTTGCAGCATTCGGGGAGATGACTTCTGAACCAATGTGGAGGGCATGCTTTCCTGGGACGACAAGCCTCTTTGAGTGCAATATAAATAATATAAGCACCATGGCTGGCCCATGCTTGCCCACAAAGTACTTCTGACAGGTTGAGGCTCTGAACGCCACGAGCATATTATATAAAGAAACCTGGAGAATGGTCTTTTCAGAGGCCATGCCATCCACATCAACATTGGCGTGCCAAAGTGTAATTTTTTCCTGGGCATTCCATTTTCCTTTGGTGCTTCCAAGGGCTCAAGGAAAAGTATGTCTTCTTCCCATTGACGGAGCAGGTCAAAACCCCGGAAAATGAGGGCAAAGCCTGCAGTCTGCTGCGCATAGGCTTGCCAATTCGATGCTAGCAAGTGGTTCAGACATTCCGACTCAGTTGGGAAAACCGGATACTCCCACCTCCTGTGTTAACTCACTCTCACCCCCACCTCGCCCAGCAGGAACGAACGCCCATCAATGGGCTTCCCATGCTGCGCCAAGCCCCACTCGTTCATTCCTCTGCGTAGCGCCGCGGGCGCCGGCAGCTCGAACAGGTCGTCAATGTTGGAACGGACCAGCAAATCCTCGGGCGCGTGAGGCACATGAGGCGTGTCAGGAGCACAACGCGGGATATGGAAGAGGAAGATTGAACGCCCTACGACAAGCAAACTGATGGCACGTGTATGCACAAGTGAAGGTGCTGACAGCATGACACCCAAAAAAAACAGTGCCTTGTCGAAGAACAATTTTTGAGGGTCCCATTCAGCTCCAATTATAGATTCTCCTGAGAAGTTTCTGCATCTGTTTGTATAGGCTTCAGTGCTGAGGCGTGGTCTGAGCAGGGAAGTTCCGTTTTAGGTGAACATAAGCCAAACAAAATCATGGAATCATCCAACATCATCCAAGAGGATCAGTCCATGCTCTTGACCTGATCTGACATCTTCGGAACCATACGTTCGGAGCGATCGGACGCTACTTTGGGGTCGGTGGAGCCTCCCATGCCACGGAGCCACCGAGCCACGGCTCGGGACGGACGTCACCAGTGGGCTGTGTGCGATCCGGACCACCCCACCTCACTCCGACCCACCCACGAAAGCTGCCATATGATGAACATCATGATGAACATCATGAACATGAACTCCAAAGGTCTGTTGGCCGATTCGGTGTCATCACGCGGTTCCGCGCGGGAGGTTCAGCACGTGTTTTGGGGTCCGCAGGAGACTGGACACTCGCATCAGCGACGGCTCAAGCAAGCTGGGCAAGTGATGCCCTGCTGCCTTCACAATGTCGCGGCGTAAGGTCCTACACCTGGAAAGGCCCCTAGGCGACAACAATGTACGACATAGAAGTGCTTCAACATGCCGGTCTGGCTATCAGGTGCCAGGTGGTTCAAACAATCAACACTTCGCTGCTCCAAATCGATCATTCAAAAGGCTAAATGCACAAACCGTCCACTACCTCTTGGAAGCATTCCAGTCTTGAACCACGGCTTGATTGGAAAACTGATAATTCAATTTGGAGGAATATGTCACCCAAAACAGCTGGGCTCCAAGGCATCTAGCCATGTCTAGCCCAACAGGGAAGGCAAGATCTGGGCTGACAGCAGCACCAGCAGGGCCATGGGCATAATCTGCTTCTCGGTCCTGGAGGTATGAGACACTTGGGCAGCTACAGAACACACATCGAACCAATGCATCGAACCAAGCATGATGCATTGGTTCCCATGAGAGCAATGCGGTCAACACTCAGTGCGGCAAACATGCCAGGGACAAAATGTCTCATGCCAATACCATTTCTCTGAGAACCACGGTGCCATCTTCATGGTCCTATGATCTTCTCGCAGGTTTACAGTCTTCGCTCCAAACTCCACAACCCCTTCAACCTAAACATCGAAAACTGCAAACAAGTGTGTTTCACGCGAAAAACACGGCAAGATCGACACCTCGACACCCACTCCCAAGGGCCCTTCTGGGGTGGGCTCTCAACTTTTTGGGGCGATCACCAGACCGGTCAGCAAACCTACCTGGCGCAGCCCAAACGAGTGGCACCCCGACAGTCTCGCCCGTCAGACGGACGAGCTCCCTCGCTTCGGCTCCTCTCCATGTGCTTCTGGATGGGCTCAATGAGTTCCTAGAGGCAATGCCCGGCGTCAAAGGGTGGGGGGCACCCACCTGGGAGGTGGAGGTGGAGGGGGGAAGAACCTCCGTCCTGCGGCATGGCACGCCAGCCGCGACCATCAGGATTCCAGCTGGGCTCTGGGCCCTTGCATTTGCCTCATTGTCCTCAGCCAAATACCACGGGGCCATGGGGCTTGCAGCTCCCCTGGTGACATGGATCGAAGTGGTCATTGGACAGCAATAAAGGTTGGTGCCGATGCTTGGAGCATGTTGCACCCAAATCAATGCAAGGGAAACCAACATATCCAGAAATAGCATTCAAATATCTAAAACTGGTTTGTTGTTTGCGATTGACTGAGACAATGACCTGCTTCAGTGCGTCGAGGTGACTAAAGCCGTCAGGTTCTTTCGAGCTATCATCTTCTAGTAGGAGTGTCGCGCAAGTGATTTCATTGGTTGGCATCCCCGTGACCATCCACAAACAACAGGGAAGTGGAAAATTGACTCTGGCGAGTTTCCTTGATAAACAGGTGGTTTTCCACTTCCATGTTAGCACACAAGAATATCACAGACTCTCAGTCGTTGAGATGTTGAACAACATTGCTTTGGTCAGCTGCCAAGACCGTCTGACCACCTTGCCCGGTTTTCACGGTGGAGGAATACTTCTCCGATTGGCGCGTTCGAAGCGCTAATCTTTCCGATCTGAAAGATATGAGTACTTGTCAGTCATGATCAGTTGGCATCGTCTTTCCCAAAGGGGATGAACAAGTCTTTAAGATCAATATGTGTGGGACCAGCCGCGTTGTATTTTTTTGTGTCAGTACTGACTCAGCTTGTCCAGTTAAATGTCTGCGTTCACCCAAGGTACATCCCACCCATCAGGCCAACCTGAAGGTCCCTGACCAACCTGAGGCTACCTCCCCGGGCCCACTGTCACCCACCAAGTGTCCATAGTAGCCAGTGATCAACCAAATTGAGCTGCAAAAGGCCAAAGGAAAGGAGCCCAGCCAATTGAGCAGCGGAGATGCTGGTGAAAAAACTGTATGCACCATAGAAGTCCAAAAGTCCTGACAGAAGTTGGCGATGGACAATCAACTCCCGGTGAGAACTTCAACTCCGATGGACTCTCTCTCCTGACCTGCTTTGACCTGAGAGAGATGAAGTGGAGATCCCGGACAATCAAGTCAGTGGAGATCCCGGACGATGAAAATCGACCCACGACCGGTCAATGAAGCACCGATTCTCGGTGCAGCTGAGAACTGAGTCGTTCCAAGACGAACGCACAGAATATATACAAATATAAAAGTATCCCTAGGGCTCCAACCATATCCTCAGAAGGTGGTTAAACCCCCCAAACCCACCCCAACCATCTTCACGAGGTGGTTGGAGCCCTAGGGTATCTGGAGCACCAGGGGTGCTGCACGGTGCTGCCATATGCCATGACCTTCGAATAGGCTGCACCCTTGCAGCAGGCTCTGCAGCACCGACTATGCTCAAAGGCCCTCCACTTACCCAATTTGCCAAGGGTTCCTTTAGAGATCCGCACCAAGCGATTCGTCGAGGATGTGGAGATCTGGCTCTTCTTGACCTCCAGGATCTTCGTCCCGTCCTCCACCGTCCCGCTGTTGGCCTTGCTGGCGGTCAGGAAGGCCAAGGTCAGCATCAAGGCCGATCCAGCCAGGCCCAGCCGCGGGTCCTCGAAGAGAGGAATAGGCCCAGTGCGGTGAGTCCGGTGTCCAGGCCCCTCAAATGCCCTAAAAATCTCATCAAGAAGGTCTTGCCTTGGCATGTTCTATTTTTTGAAGTGCGTTTGAATGAAGTTTGTTTGTCTTTTCGACTGTCGTCCACGATGATCAAAACCATAAAATTAAAAAAAAAAATCACCATCAACTATCCTGAACGATCCTCGACCCATGAAGTATCATGCTTAATCAGCTGTCATGACTCGATGCGAGACAAGGCACTGACTTGAAAGATGTTAGTAGCAACGGGAGGTTCAACACCTGAAGGAAGATGATGCCCAGCGCTCTTTGGCGAAGATCGCCCATGGCTGTCAAAGGTGGATCGCAAAGAGCCGCCGAGCCTCTTCTTGTTTGTTACGTTTTTATCGTGAACCGCCATAGCACTGGCCATTGAAGATGTATCATCTCTTCACCATGCTACGTAGTAGCTGGCGATCCTTTAACAGATTACTCCCGCCACGCCTTCACAGTTAAAAAATTAACATAAAAAGACCTACGACTACGAGCGGGTGGGTCTTCACTATCCATGTTTCAAGGTTGATTACTGTGCGCATCGATCTGCTGAAATCTGCCTTTGGCCGACAATCTTGGGCCCTGTGACAGCCCAAAGGTAGGCAACACATGGCAACACTACACCTGATGATCCTGATGCACTGATGAATGGTGGGAAGGTTCTACCAAGCTGACTGAAACGTTTGCAGGGGATGATGCAACTGACTTCACCACCTCTTTTCGAAGTCCAAGACATAAGGCCATAAGGAACCAACCCACGGAGGAATGGAGGAACGATCACATGCCACGTACTTGCACAGCTTGACAAGCCACTCTGTTGCACTCTGTGCCACCCTTCCATCCCCACCCTGCCAAAAAATCCTCGTGGAGGCCCAGCGTCGATATCCATCATCAAGACTTTCTCATACTCCGTCAGGCCCAATCCCCGGAGCTTGGTGAAGACCTTGGCAAAGCGTTCCTGGCCGCCCAGGGCCGGATGAGGCGCGCCGACGCAGCGGAGGATGGAGAATCTCCAAAGCCCAGCCGAGCGTTGGAACGTGCTTTGAGGGAGCAAATCTACTAAGGCAAACTCTGTCAATATCCGGAAATTTGGCTTCCCATACCCCAGAACCTGTGTGGAAGACCACTTCTTCTTCTCTCCGCCGTTTTTAGAAGCTCCGGTCCTCCTTGTCAGGAAAGCTCAGCTGATCCATCACCGCATCCACGTGGGTAATCAACTTACACCGCCACAACTTGGACAGCTCCCGGATGTGTTCCTGCAAAACTCCGCTCGATCTGCGGGGTCTGGTGGTCGCGGGATGTCTAGGGGGGTCCATGCAGTTGATGCGGCGGATGGCGCAGGGAGGGTCTGGCGCGTGTTGAACCAATCACAAGAACAGTGGTATAGCTTGCGTCCTCGAAGAGAAAAACAAATTGGCCAAGAAGTCTCACCCGCCACCCGCCCGTTGGCGACAAAAGTCAATCACCAAAGAACAAAAAAACTGACACAAACACACACACACAAATAGAAAACAACGTCCCTAAACAAGTGTTTGAAGGCCCTACCAGGCCCACGCGCTTCGCCTGAGGCACGTCGTCTGTGTACAAGCACACGCGGTGGTGCTTAGAGCCGGTCTTCCGGATCGAGGCACCCAGGACCATGGCGCCCACCATGTACTCCGCTGAAGCACCCCAGAGGCAGATCAGAAAGGCGTACCTGTAAAAAAGCAATGTGGTAGAAAGACACCCGAGAGAAAATAAGTAGATAAGACAAACAACTAGCTGTAATCTGTTTTACTAGGCTTGGAGTGTGACTCGCCGGGGCCAAGCAAAAAAGCGGGGGCGGCTGCCTCCTGCACGCATACCGTGTACTGCACGCTTAGCTCTTGAACACTTGAACATGACCAGGGTTTGCTTTGAACCCACAAACTGCGTTCCCACTCAAGAGCATGCCGCCTGCCAGTCGCCTCTGGAGCCACTGCCGGGCGCTGTGGGGGCGTCGAGAGCAACTCGATCTCCAAAGGGCGTTTGCAGCAGGGGCAGGAGGCCTGCTTGGTAATCTGAAAGAATTAAGAATTTTATGGTAGCATAGGCCTAGGGCTTGCCCATTGGGTGCTACACTACAGTATGGGAAGGGATGTGGGGAATCTCACTAAACACCAAGAACCCCCTTAAAAATAGGACCAAAGCTCTCGGCAGTGCCTCAGTCTCCAAGAATATCCAAGAACCGGCCCCCTTGGCACTCGCAAAATCACCTCACCAATCCTTCGCACACGGATTTCACACATGAATTCGCGCAAGTCCACTGGGCAGTTTTCGGACAAACTCATGTTGGTGCTAGGTGGGCTAAAATGGACAGAATTTGTTTTGAGACGTCTTGGGCTTGCGATTTCCATCCGCTTCCTTGCCTGCCAGCCATCCCAGCCCCGCAGCGGCTTCAGCGGTGTCGCGTATTTCACCCCGGCCGCACGCAGCGGCGCGGTGAGGCACAGCGACGAGGCCAGGAGATGCCTGGTCCAGCGAAAACGATAACGCCTTTTTCAAGCCGTCTTCAGACCTGTTCCCGTGAAGACGCCCAGGGCGAGGAGGAGCGATCGATGATCCAAGGAGCAAAGGACCTTGACGATAGACTCTTCTGTCAGCTAGTCGAGTTTGCGGCGTCGAGGCTGGCTTCGATTACGGGCAGTTGAAACTATATCACTGAATCTTCGCTAGCTGAATCCCCAAATGCCAGGGCCCTCCCTATGTTAATGATTGTTAATGCATTAAAGACACCAATACCATCATTCGGCCCAAGGCCCCCTTCCAGGCGTGTCCTTGCTTGGGCTCCCATGAACCACCCCCGACCTCCGCGCGGCCCGGCGGAGGTAAGCCCACAGAAGGCTCAGCAGGATGGGGACCGTCGCCAGCCAAACCTTTGGACTCGCTGCACGGACACGGACTCGAAGCCACGCCAAAGGCTGCAAGGCACGGAAAGCCATGGCTGGAAGCCATGGCGGGAACATCGGTGCGAGGAAGTGGCCGGATCGAGGACGTGGCATGCGATGTTAGCCAGTGACTGTCGGCCAATGGCATTGGCCATCCTTGGGTGCATCTGGGGGTGGTTACCATGTGCTGACATGTGTTCACTGCAGCTTCCGGTCCAGCTGACAGCTGATCACCTCTGCTTCAAAGGTACCTTCCAAAAAAAATCTCTCCTATCTACCTCTTCAGCCAACGCAGCGACATGGGATGTTCATCTATTCACTTGGACTGCAATTGCGGATCAATCAACGCGGATCAAACCTCCTCGCGGCCGATTTTCCCCGGCCCCTGCAGGTACAAAATGAGGCATCGCAGCATCACTTGTTACTCTCAGTGACGGCAAAGACCGCGCCCGGCGTTCAACAAACAGTCCGGAATCAACACGGAGCCTTTCATGTTTCCGGGTCAAATGATGTGGATAGGGGGCGTTCCGGGTCGACGGCTGACCCAGCTGTAGAAACCACATCCACAGGGTTTGGCCGGGCCAAACCACGCAAGTCTTAGAGTGGAGTTTCCCATCCAATCATTACACAAAAGAAACTCTCTGAACGTGCCCTTGGAGCCAGAGATCCCTCCGAAAACCAAGGATACCAAGGTGTACTGTGAACTGGTTCTATCCTTTTCCACCGGAAGTTGAACATCTATAATAATGAGAAAACCCATGGGGCCCCAAAAAAGGGTGGGCAGGTGATCCACGGAGTCCCGAAGCGGCAGGCAATGTTCTGATGGCAGGTAGGAATCAGCAGCGGAAATGGGTATGAAAATAGGGACGCCAAAGACCCTCCTGCAAGGGAAATAGACCGAAACCCATTGAGCCAGGGTGGCCCCTGGAAAAATATAGAGATCACACCCAATTCTAGCCCATCCCTTGTTCCATTCCTTCGCGCACCTGATACCATGCGGCGTTTCGGCCGTCGGCGCCGTGTCGCCGCGCCGGGCGGAAAGCCCCTTCAGATCCTTGCTGCACCGTTTGCGAGCGCTTTTGCGTCGGCGCGGTCCACGCAGTCGGCGCGGACGCCACTGAAGTGTTCAGGTGGACTTGCTCTTGATCTCTCCACAGTCTTCGATGACCACCTGGAGCTCGCCCCGGTCGAGCGGGTGAGGCTCAGTGGAGGAGTGGAGGATCCACGGACTAAACTGGGGATGAAGGATGCTCCACCATGGAAATTGGTTATGCCCGCATTCAAGTGCTACATACAGAACGAAGGTTTGGCTTCAGCAGCTCCCTGCACCAGTTTCGTGATACTCGAACTAATTATATATGCCAACGCCTCTATTTTTGGGTCACCGCCACTCGTACCTGCGCAGCAGGAGGTCCCCGGAGGCACGTTTTCGGGTCTCTGGGGCGTGGAGGATGGGGTTGCTGTTGCGGACATGCTGCAGGCATGCTTCAAGCATCTTCAAGCATCTTCAAGCGAGATCGTTGTATTGCATATGCCGTCCACATCCGTATAATTCCGTATACCTGTTTCAATTGGGTTGCTGCACGGATCCTTTTGGTGTGCCGGTCGTCAAAAATTCATCCCCATCCAGAACCTCAGCATTGTGTCCTAGACTTCATGCATCACTGGACGTTCACCGCCAGAACTCATTCTCAAAAGGTGGATGGCGACGATAATGACGATAAGGATCCTTTCCAAATTCGGAACCTTGAATCAATTTGAAACCCACTTCAGACTCAGACCTGACCTATAACGCCTCTGCAGGCTATAGCCATGATCTGCATGGCACCTCCAGCAACGCCATCTCTCCTGACCGTGTGCCCCCCCCCCGATCACCCCCCCCCAGCCCCCCATGGCCCCTCCTCTTCACCCACATCCCCACTTCTCAGCCCATCTCTTCGGACCCTCGGCGCACCCACGTCGCCCATCGCCTTCACCACATCCTCATCCCGATCCGTCCCGCTCCGAAGACACGACATGGGCGGGAAAACCGCGACCAGTCACCGGCGTCGCTGACCCCACGACCGAACCACGGAAGGGTCGCCCGGTCGCTCGGTCCAACGCGGGGTCCAGCGCACCGAGGGGGGCGCCCAACTGCACGAAGCCAAGCCAAACCGCACGGAAATGAATGATTGAGAAACGTTGGTGGCTCCACCAAAATGCCAAAGCCGACTCATCGATGAAGCGATTTCACCTCTCGTGACTGTAGAGTCATGGATGTTGGAGCACTGGCTGCGTCCCAAATGAAGATCCTGAGGCTCAGGCCATCCCTTCAGTCACTTGCCCAAAAACCACATGCTTGCCATCGAGGTGTTTGCCTTTGCGTGGGGGCCAGGCACCATCTTGCAAATGAAAGAGTTCTTGGGCACATGGAGAATTCCGTCGCTGCAAAACATTGCCAAAGGACTAGTCAAGCCATGCCAAACAGTTAAATCATGTTAAATCCTAGGGCCTCCTCTTCAACGGAGCTTTGGCTGCTATCAAAAAATCTGCTTGGGTAACCCCGGGGTGTATTCAGGTGATTGGTGAGTATACAGTATACAGTTTTTGTTGCTCTTGGCATTTTTTGGGGATACCTTGGGCGTATCTGATTCTTACATCCCCTCACAGTGCATACCTGGCAGGATGACAGAGGTATGCACACCACATGTATCATCATGTATCCACATGTGACATCACTTTGACTGAGATCCCCGGTTGACATGCACAGGTGGGGTAGGCACACAGATTTATTTATCCAACTGGATCAATTTCCAGCAGCCTAGGTTACTGAGTTACAACCAGGGATGACTGAGTTCTGACTGTGCTTTCAGATCCTTGGGCTCGACCTGCGACTGGCATTCCACACCTTTCATTCTCACCCAGCTGTCTGCGGCCATCACCCGTTGCATCTAAGCCACATGGACCCAGGGTGATGAAGAACTGTGATCCGTTCGTATCCTCTGCGATGCGGCAAAGCATGCGGAGTGCGGAGGGCTTAGTGAGTTGGTACGAGTAGCAGAACTCAGCGTGCCAAACTCAGCGTGGCCGAGCGCCCTTCTGAAGCGGTCGTGACCCGCCAACCTCCCTCACGCACGGTCGCGTGGCCACCCAGTGGCATTCCACACGTGGACTTCACCCAGTCCTCTCTTTGGCCCCGCGAAATGGCACCGAAAAGCTCCAGAAAGTGTCACCGACACCGACACCCCCAGCGTGACACCTCGACCATCGAGCCCAGGCCTTGCCCGCATTGGCCATCGAGAGAAGCCCTTCTGCGTCGTGCCTCGGCGAGCGCCGTTTCGGTTTCGGTTCAGCGTCCGTTGCGTGAACCGAAATGAGAGCGGTGGTCCCTTCCACGGGGGGGCCTTTGGCAGGCGGGACCATGGATGGATTGAATCGTCCACCCTTCCTGAACTCAACGAAGGTTTTCGGAGTGTTGCACCCATAGCACAATTCTATGATTCTTACGACTTCTGACTTATGTGTCAATGTTCTCTAAGGCTTCTGCTTCTCCAACCTTCCGTTCAGTTCCCCAATCTTATCCAAGCATGGGCGCACCACGCAAAACGCAAAGGAACACACGAGCCGTGGCCCAAACGCCACCTGGGAGTTCATGTTGGGTCGAGACTCGTTCATGTTGCCAGTTGACATCTTCACCTGCAAACTTTGCAAACTCCACCTGGGGCTATGCCACAATACCCACCGGTCACAGCGCGATAGGGCGAAAATCAAATCCATCAAGTCACCTGGTGACGCAGTGGCGTTCTCATCTATATCATATGTCCCGCCCTTCTGTTTGGGCTTAGCATGGTTAAGCCATTTGGAAGCCACATCACCCAACAGCCCCCCCCCCAAAAAAAAATGACGCGTCCACGGCCGGGTGGACGCGCGAGATGAATCCGTTGGTGAACTCGTCCTCAAACTTGTCGCCGTAGATCGACTCACCCCCTCGACCATTGCCGTGCGTGAAGTCCTCAGCTCCGTCCCGTCTCTTCATACAGATCCAATGGGGTCCATGTCGGTGCCATGTCGGATTCCAGGTCCATGTCGGTCCGGCCTCCGGTGCCCTTTGTTCTCAACATCCACCCCAAACCGAAGGGAAGCGAACCGAACACCCCAACACATGAACTGGCTGGGTCAACATCTTCGGTCGTGGGAGGTCCGAAATGACTCGGGTCCTTTGGCGCCAAAACCTGGGCTCCGGACCGGTCCTTTTGCTTCTCGCACCGCATCACATCCGAGTCTTAAAACCGCTAAAAATCGCGCCCGCTTCGCTGGGGTCCCAGGCACCTCCTTGGCACATAAACCCCGGGATGATCCGGTGGAATGTGCTGCCTCAGAACTCCGAGGTTCCAACTCAACAGAACGGCGAAGTGGTGAGGCGTTCCGGGGTAGATGTGGGTAGATTCTTTTTCATGGTTTGTCCACCTGTGATGGTGCAGCAACCCGACCCGCCTGCCTTTGAAGGCCAAGGGCTTGCCGCTGTCGCCCTTGCCCTGTGCGAGGGAGCGAGCACAAGACCAGCGAAGTGCTTTCTGTGATGCTTTTTTGGTATGCACATGCCTTGAACGATGCTTTTTGGTAAGGCCCAGGTGGGAACTGTACCCAAAAAACATGGGCAAGGAGTATCAAACAGACGTCCAACGGACCAAGTCCTGCACGTGGGACGCGCGAGTTAGAGCCGGAATATATACTTGGTTGCCAACCTTTTTGGCTGCCAACCCAACACCCACGCACCACCCACAACTCCTAACTCATGCCTCTGCATGGGTGCTTTCAAAGTCAAAAAGGAACATACTCGAGCATGATCGAAGATGCTCTGATTTCAGCTATTTTCCCTATCCTAGGGCTGATGAGAAAGGAGTTGTGACCCAGCTGCCAGCGCAGTCGTTTCCTGATGAATAAGGAATTGTTGATTTTGGCACATGTCCGATAACTCCTTTGTCACTAGGACGTAGTATATATAGATGGAAATCCAAAATGCCCAAGCTTTCCCCGAACTTGTTGCAATCCTCTTCCAATGAATGCTTGTCGGGAAGCCAGCCGGAAGTAGCACTAATTTAAAACATTCTGAACCTGGCTCCAACTCCCCAGCCGCGCCTTCTCCCCGGTGCACAGCGCGCGGAAGTTCCTCGGCAACAGAAAACGAAAAAACGTCCGTTCCAAAGAAGATCAAGAAGGCAGGGCCGCACAGGCGGCATTGGACCCGGTTCCATCCTTTTCCCTACCAGTATTTGTTCTTTTCGCCTTTTGGAGAAACCAGACCACCGAGACGCTCCGCTGTTTTGGGGTAGCTCTTGGCGAAGAGCTGGATCTCCACCTGGCGAGGTTTCATGCCCTATGCCGATGCTTGGGCCCAAAAAAGAAACAACAAGTGGAACAAGACCGAGAAGGTACGGTATATACTAACCGCTAGCTAGACTATGTGTTACCGGCCCCCGGTTGCTTGTTAGCGCTCCCCTTCTGCACCACTGATAAGTGCTAGGGCTAAGTTGCAGGCGAGAACTACGTAGTAGCACCAGCACTCGTAGCAGTATTGGTGTTGGTGGTGGTGTTGGTGTTGGTGTTGGTGTTGGTGTTGGTGTTGGTGTTGTTGTTGGTGGTGGTGGTGGTGCAGCTGCTGCTGCAACTGCAACCGCAATCAAACCACAACCACAACCCAACACCAAGAAAGAAGGAAAATAAAAACAGCAACTAGAAAAAAAATTGAAAAACCAACGCAAACCCTCAGCTAGCACAGTTTGGTCAGCTCAATCCTGACGGCCGATCGATTCCCTCGTCAGCAACTCTCTGCATTCTGCCAACCTTCTTGGGCGTTTCAAACCCGATTTTGATGCTCAGAAAAACCTGGCAGGAGTTTGAGAGCATGGTCCCCACATCGCATGGTCCAGCATCCGACCATCCGAGCTTACTGCAGTTTGAACACGGCGAAACTGAAGAACTGAAGGAATGAGATGAGAGGAACAGCACACATCAAACCATGCTTTTGATGAAACCAACCCTCGGAAATGCTTCGCATGTCTCTGTTTCTCTTTCAACGCGTGAAGAAACACCTCCGAAAGTTGCAAAACCACCCAAGGTGGTTAAAAGCAAAAAAAGAACGTCCGAGCCGAGCCAGCTCCCAACCAGCAACAATCCGGAGGTTGAGTGATTTCTTCATATTTCTTCTATAGATTGTAGTTTCACTCCGCACCACTCTGTCCGACTAGGTCATAGGTCAAGTGAGAAGAAACCACTTCTTCTCCCATCGCCTTTGTGTTTTCCTCATCTTTTTCCGCATCCAGGATCAGCAGCTCCTCAGAGTTTTGGTGGAATCTCGGTGGAATCCGGTCAAACTGGTTGGGCAGCTTAACCATGTTTTAACACCGTAAAACCACCAAAACCGCCAAAGCCCCAACCCGAAAAGGACGGATCCGGTTCGCGTTCCGACATCTCCTTCAGGTCACCCGTGCCCTTGGAGAAGTATTGCTGCACCAACTGGAAGGCAAAAAGTCCCAACAGCGCGAGCCTCGGCTCGCCAATACCGCAACCAACTCAAACCGTCCATGACACGACGGTTTAAAGCGGCTGGAATGCTGGGTTCTTTGAACATATGACTACAGAGTACGGCCGATGGTGGTCAAAGAGGGAACGAAAAAGCTTCCAATGAAGGTTTGTTTTGGGTGATTCTCCCACCTGGTGTCCTGCATTTCCCTTCACCTGAAAACACTCCACCGGCCACCAATAGCCATCAGCTACCCCGCATTTTTGTACACATGGAACATCATGGAACTGAATTCCGATGTCCGATATCAGTTGGGAATCTCAAAAAAGTCTATAGTGTAGATTCTTGATTAATTGGAGGTTATTTATCGCCTACATTCTGACACATGATGTACAATGATGACCCTACAAGCTCTTACCCATCTATCACTCACCAACCCCACCAGCTTGCAAATTTGCACTTCTTCGACGTGCCACTCCAACCGCCGAATCCCAGCTCGGCCCCGGCACGGCATGGGGTTCGCCAGGGCTTGTTCCCAGAGCCAGTCCAGGCCCTCCGCCGGCGGGTTCACCTCGCGTGCGCGGTGCTTGGTCTCGCGTGCGCGGTGCCATTCGGCCAGTGCGACGGACACGGCCGCGCCTCCAGCATCTCTACCTCGAAGAAGAGCCCTGCATCGGGTGGAATGGCACCTGGGCGGCGACAGGTCGACGGGCGTCGACAGGCGAGAGGAGGACGAAGGTGAAGGTGACAGGTTGGTGGGGTATACATGGACAAACTGAGTTGGGGACCAAAAATGCATGGTCTGCCCTTGAACAGGAAAAAAAACTTCATAATCCATCCTTTGTATCGACGAGTGACGGGTTCAGGGGTTCCGTGCTGGAAAATGGTGTAGTGTTTCTTTTGTAGGCCATGTGGACCAAAGCCTTCCCTCCCCAAAAGTAATAAACACCGAACATGTTCTTCAAAAGCCGACCCTTGCGATGGACAAAGTTCTCATCCTCCTTCTGGCAGGCCACCCACATTTATTTCACCAAGTGAAACCTGGCTAGGGCTTCATTGCCCAGCAATACCAAGAATATATAAATACCCATATGCCTGTATATAACTACATGTTGGACAGATCGAGAGAGAGGGAATACATACATATACATCTACATACATATACAGTATACATATATACATACACCCTGACCACTACCCTGACCAACCCTCTACCCTCTTTGGAGACTCGAGGCCACTGATCGGGGCTTCCCAGTCGAAAAGCCTTAAGCAAGTCGCTTCACCAAGGACTCTCTCTGTCCAACTGCTGCGAACCATGCGAATCAACATCTTCAACATCTTCAGCATTCAGGCTGCATCTCTGGTCTTCGCATCTCTGACTCTGTCCGCCACATCCCGAGCCCTGCTCCCGCTCTGTCCTCGCCCAGGGCGCTGCCGGCGCCCTTCGATCCATAGCCGATCCTCGGGCATTTCCGGCGAGAGCGCCGGCCGGCACCGGTCGTTTGGCGTTCGGGTGGCCGGGAGAAACAGGGGTGGCCGAGAGAGAGGAAGAAAAAACAGGTGCCATGTGTGACATCAGCAGCATTTCCTGTGGGTTGACCACCAGGGCACCCATCAGCGGCACCGGAATTCTTCTAGGAAGGACGATCGACACCAGACGTAGTAATTCGCCGTCCTAAACCTTGCAAGACAAAGCACATCCACGGCTGAACAGGTGATTTCAACCTGCACAACCTTGCGGAAGAGCATCTACTTCACACTCACACTCACACTAAACTTTAAAGGAAAATGATAAGGTCCTGGATCATCCTGGAAAAGGACAAGGTTTTATTGCATCACCACAATTTGCGCGGGAACATCAACGGTCCACCTCTCTGCGTGTGTGTACGCGTGTCTGGAATTGTATATCTACATATCTATATCCAAACTTTAAACACACATATTATATATATATATATCTATCTCTGTGTGTGTGTGTGTCAATGTATACACTATGATGCGAACTCCAGCTCGCTGCCCCGGCCACATCTACAAAATATAGTCATGACATGTCATGAATTGCTTGTCATTACTATTCATGACTAATGTAGACTCTGGATTCATAAAACCCCCCACATGTGCACCCCAAACACCTCTTAATATTAGGATAATGTTGAAAACAATTGACAATATAATGCATGAGTCTACCTTCGCGGAAGCACCCAAATCTTTAGAGGTCCAGTTCTTCCACGTCTTAGTCTCCGCCGGGTCACGCGCTGGGGACCCAAATCTTCCAGGTGTCTCCTGGCCTCATCCTGCACGGCGCGGTTGATGCCGGCTGACTTGCGGCTGTCAGTAAAAAGTGGTCTGAAAGGCAGGTGAAGCAAAGAGAAAATTAGTGGATGGATGGGGGGTAGAAAAGAGGAGTCATAGCATTAATCATGAATGCCCAAAAGCAGGGATAAGCAGAGGCACAATGATACTTCTTTGAGATCTTTGGGTTAACAATCTCCCTACTAGTAGACACTGTCTTTTCCCAACCATGCACCACTACGGGACATGTGCCCCCGAGACCGCTTGACGATGCTCAATGATGAAAAACCAATGGGATCATGTGGATCACGTGGGTGTCTCACTGGAATCAGACTCCATTTTGGCCCATGAGACGGAGGTGATTCCTGCGACAGCAGGTGCCACAAGTCACATGATCACATGACAGCAGGTGGCTGGGGCGCCCTGGCATCAGCAAGGCCTTGCGAGCGCGCCACAGTTTGTTGGCCCTTGCTGAGGAGGATTCAACCACTATGCGGCTAGGAGGAGGTGACCTGAGTAGCTTCTCTGGGTGCCAATGTCAACCGCTCTATGGTCTATGGGTGAGCCATCTGCTGTGAACTTTGAACCTACTGGGCGAAACTCCAGAAGGGGTAAAGTCAATTGTAAACTTGGTATGTAGGTGAGACACTATACCCGCTGGCGGTTGAGGTTCAGCTCTCGCTGTTCTGAGAACGTTAACCACAAATTGACGGGAAAACTAGCCTTTAACTCGCTCATTTGTCACGAACATCCAATCAAATCCACCACCCAATGCAAGAGTCTCCGGAAATCTTGTGCTACATTCCACCTAAGCAAGTACTGGGCGTACTAGCGGCGTACCAGCCCGGGTTGCCCACTTCCAATTCGTACAATGGCAACACCTCCAACGCAAGGATTTGCATCGAGAAACCATGAGAAACCTCTCTAGGCACAAACACTTGGGGCAGTTCATGGCAGCTCTATGGCACTTGCATCCCTGCTTCCATGGAGGTTCAGGTGGCTCTTGGAATGCAAGATCAACGATCCGCCGGATCGACGCCCCTGGTTCAAACCCTACACGTCGAGGCCTCCTTGAATCCAGGCATCAGCGAGGCAGGCTTGAAACGCGCGGGTGTGTTGCGCTTGTAAGAGCTGTCAAACCTCCGCGCAGTCCGTGCAGTTCCGGAGTCTTGTGGAGTCCTTGTCGGGCGTTCCCGCGATTTGCAACTGTAAGAAGAACTTCAACATGCTTCAACCATGAGACTAGAATTTAACCACGGGGAAAAATGGTTATTGAACCACGAGGGCTGTGATTAAACCACGACGGGTCGACCTGTTTCTTCAACCAACACGCTGATGTTGGGAGGGTTTTGGGCTACGGGTACCACAGAAGATTCTCGTCCGCACGCCAACAGCCCGTGACAGTGATCAATGTTCAAAGGCCACTTGATACCCAGCCTTTAACGGGTCGGTGAAATAGACACCCTATGTCAGTTTAGGTCACATTCACCTAGGTCCTCGCACAGAGCGAGGAAGGCCAGGAGCCACCCAATTCTCTGAGAATCCAGGCTGTTGTGTCGGTGCCCTGCTTGGGGTCTCCAGCATGAATGGAAAAGCCTACAACTCAATGAAGAGGTATATACGTGCACCGTGAACATAGGTGAACCCTGCAGTTCCTATGGTTCTCCAACTCAGCTGTGGTTTTTCAGAGGCAAAATTGTGCAGGAAGCCCACTGGTGGAATTTGATTGATACCATGTTCTCCGATTTCTCCATCTCCTCTGGCCCCTACCCCATCGAACGGCGCCCCTCCCTTGAAGCAGCCCACTCCGTGCCGTTCAGCAAGGTGCCGCGGTAGTGGAGCACCTCAGAGCGACGGCAGCGACGGTGCCTCCGCTAGTCGGAAGCACCGGGTGCGGTGCGCCTTCTTCGGGGCGTCTGGAACCGCCTTTTTTGAAAGACGACGGGGATGGGTTGGAACTTGGAACGACATGGGATGAGTGTTTGAAGTCTTAGCGGTGCGGCCAAGTGAACCCTCCATCTTTCACAGGTTTGCGGCTCTCCCCTGCTACTTCTCCCTTGCCCTGGAGAGGAAGGATACAGTAGCCATTGGATAGAACATGATAGAACAATCAGCCTGCCTGGATGGTTACACATTTCCGCGGGGTTGTATCAATCAAATGGCCCAAAAATGGAATTCTCCTGACCTCTCCCGGCGCTTAGTGGAAGGCCAAAGAGCTCGCTCAGAGGCTCTTCAAGTGGCTTAGGATCGCTTAGGCCGGGATGGCGCATCCATTCACCGGCCTCTACACCAGCCGTGGTTCTGACATCACTTTAGGAGGCTTTACAGTAGGAACACCTTCCTTTTTGAGTGGGACGTCCACCGGCCCTCACCCACCGCGCAGAGCAAACGCCCCGTCGGCTTCTTTTCCGCGCGCTCGCGGCGCGGACCCGACGCGTCGGTCATGTCTTCGCCTGGGCCACGTCCAAGTACGAGGACTGGCAATTAAGCTGTGCTTGGAATGACCCCCACAAAAACACAAAAAAATAAAAATAAACGAAATTGTTGTCTTCCCATCTTTTCATGCCAAGAGATGCATCATGGTCCTTCGGCAACTGACCTTGTCACCTTTTTTGAGCCCGCGTTTTGGCTCCTTCCCGAAACGACCTGCACACACACCACCTCTTTCGGGTTACACGTCCAGCCAGGCTAATGTAGACTCTTGATGAATATTAAATTCATGCACCGCCCCCGATGTTTTGCTTCAAAAACCTCTTCATATGGGGTGGTTTATTTACTCAAGAGTCTGGCTCTTTACCGCCCACAGAGCCCGGCATCGCCGGGTGCGAGCAGAGCACCGCGGCCTTCTTCGTCCCTTTGGCCCCGGCGGTGCGCTTGCCTCCGCGGTTGGAGGTCGGAAGAAAAGGCATGTGGAAGGTGATGGGAAGGCACCGTTCGCGCAGGTGGGCGGCAAGAAAGTGAAGGGGTAGGGGAAAAGAATTGCAAATCACGATGCTCTGCTGGGCTTGTTGCTGGCGTGCACCACCCTTCAACCACTGCACAGGGCGGACCTTTTTTCAGAATGCCTTTGGGCAAGCTGGGCTCGGCAAAGGACAGGCCGGGCGACTTCGGCGAGAGAATGGGAGACCTCGGCGAACCACTCCCAGGACCGGTCGCCGAACATGCGTCCCGAGCTGGTGGCGAGATGATCCTCAAAGGATCCTCAAGTGCCCAGAAAGGGACTCCCAATTCAGAAACAAAATGAAACAAACAAAATCAAATAGCTCACGCTGAACATCGCAGGCGCTTCCGAAGTCGAAGCATGGGCCTCCGGAAGACAATTCTCCGCAAGCAGCCCCGGGAATGGTGGAATGCGCCAAGGGCCCACCGGATCTCCGTTCACTGAACTTTCACCGTTTTTCAGCATGTTTCGGCCCTTCTTCTTTCCCTATTCCTCCTCTTTCTCCTCTTTCTCCGCCACGCGGCTGTGGCGACACCTTCGGACTCCCCGAGTGGGCCGTGGCCAGCGCCGCCTTGGGCAGCGCCGCCAGGAAGCTGCCGCGGAAGTCGCGCTCCTCGCGGGGCACGGCCTGCGGAGGCGCTGGAGGAGCCCCACTCACGGCTGAGCCCCGCTATGGGGCTACGGGCTACTTCTCATAGAGCGACTTCTTGCGAGGATCTGGCACCGGCTTTGGACTCCAAACACAGCGACCCGGAGACTTGGAGGCCTCTGAAAAGGGCCCGAGAAAAAAGACGTATACTATATAATATGGTATAATATAAAACTTAAAAATAACACGACTTCATAATATAATATATGTATATTACATGTAATATATGTATGTGTGTGTGTGTGCGTGATATGATTATATGATCATATATATATATGTGTGTGATATTTATTTAACCGACCACTCTCTCTCTCTCTCTCTCTCTCTGGGACAAGTATCTTACCATGGATCAGAAGTGTTGATTGATCGGTGTCTCCCAGCGATGGTTCAGTGCTCAATGGGGATCAACGAAGGGTAGGAACCTGAGATACAGGTTCCTGAGCTCAGCCTTTGAACCCAGGTCTTTAAAACGATCATGTTGACATTGCTCGCATGGTCTTGTGACATTGTGCTTCTTGTAAGGATCCTAAGAAACATACATACATAACCTTCATGCCAAAAGCACAAACAGTCAAAACTAAACTGCAAAACTCAAGCACGGTCACAACATGTCACAAGTCATTCTCCATCTCATTCGATCTCAGTGTGGGATCCATTCCTTCAAAGACGGACACAGACTTTTGGTCTTTTGCAAGACGGACCAGTGACGCTGTGGCCTGGCAGTATCCCATCCAGGCTTTCAGCAGTTGCTTCTCCCAGTCCTGGCGTGAGCGGTTCACGCCACCGTGGCATGGAGGGATTGTGTGATCCAATGGGAGATGCTGAGCAGGCGGGCTCAACGAGGTCACGTGTAGAAGGCCCCAAAAATACACACGGTGCCCTCGATCACTCTTTTGCCCGGCCTTCTTGTTTGGGATGGAGGGCGGGTCGAGCTGGTCTCGCAGCCTGATGTGTGACAAGGCAAACCCTACATGCCACCAACAAGAGGCAGCTACGTTCAAAGTCTTCCATGCCGCGAAAGTCCCATGCTTGAAGCGGCCTGATGATGAAATCGCCGTTCTTCTCAGTCACCAACCTCTGAATGCAAATGAATGGGGTCATGCGACGGTGCTCCTGTGGATGTCCGACCCAACCCATGTGGCTCGGACGAGTGCTTGCTTTCGCCAACAGGAAGGGTAGGGAAAAATGGGCTCTTGCACCTCTTTCTCCAGTGGTCCAACGACTGGAGGATTAAGAAGTGAAAACCTTGGCATGTTGGGACATCCCCCTATAAAAGGGTTAGCCCTACTCATGCATTTCATAATTAGAGGAAATCCTTTTCTTGGGATGTTGGGACTCTTTCTGGATGGAGGGGGGCCCCCGGTCGATGGAAGACCGGCCCGGCAGACGGGCCCCACGGATGTGCCTGCTCGAGGGTCCAGAAAAGGTGTATGCAAATGTTCTGGTATCGGTTTTGGATGGTTTTGGTGTGGTTGTTTTGTATCAGGTGGTCGTGGACAATGGCAGTTCTTTGAGCTACAGCATGCGAAACGCCATGGGTTCATCTACAATGCCAATGTGAAGGGCCTTCCTCTCCCAGTCATGAGCTGGTCATCGATGGTCCTCGTTTTCCACCAGTGGGCCACTTCCTTCCTCTGCGGGGCCAAACGTCGAGCTGTCGCGTCCCGTAACTTCCGCGTCGTCCGAGAGGCACAAAGTCTTCCGCATGTTCCTTCAGGAACCTCAGAGGTCGACATCTCTTGACGAGGGGCGATGACGAGAGGGGGAATGGAGGGGGGAACCACACCCGAGAAGGACCAGTTTTTTCGAATGCGGCGCTGCACCTGACAACGGGATCTGTGTGCATCGTGAAAGTGATGCAGGCAACTCCGACAGTTCATCAATTGGTGCCCCATTCGCTCGACCGGAACCTCCTCCCGGGAATTTGTGCACAGTGACGACTTTCTCTGTTCTGCCCAGCTGCTGCTTGTATGGACCCAAGACCGGTTTGTACTTCTCTGCCCAGTCCGCTGGCACGAAGGGACAGCCTGCCTTCTGCATCCCTGCCTGGGTCACGCCCTGCCTGCACGATGCGCAAACAAGAGCTCTCCAGGAATTCCACCGTGTCCGTCTAAGGCGTAAGAAAAGTGGGTCATCCCGGTCATCCCAAGAGCCTGGCTTATGACATCTTATGACTGGAGTGTCTGAAACAGAGTAGGTTTGTGAAGGTGTCCAATTATCGGTAATTATCGCTGACGATGCGTCTCCATACGTCTTCATACGTCTTCATGCGTCTTCGTCGATAATTGGAGCCCCTCTGTCGCCAACAATGTAAAATCAACCCCTTTCCTTCGCATGGGAGCACCTCCAGCGTGCGCAAGATGTGTGAGAGGGTGCGTGCACACAAAAATACGGTGCAGAACTGTTACAGAATCCTAGAACATTTCATTGAAACTACAAGTGCGCTGGGGGGATCACAGGATACCCCCTCATCCTGGTTCTCCACCGTGGCCTGATCTCAGCAACGGCGGCCTTGGCCATCGTCTCCCGCTCCTCCGGTGAGACCTGCGAACATGACAGAGCCAACCACGCGCCACGGCAGTGTGCGCTGCTGACAGTTGGCGTCCAAGACCACCCGAATCGAGCGCAGTCCAAAGACTGAGCCACCCCGTCGAAGCGCTACGGACAACAATCAAACTGCACCGGAGCAACTGGTTTTCGACATGTTTTCACTGGTTACTCTTGTGTACCCAAACTCTGTCATCCCATCATCCACGACCCATGGGGCTGGGAATGTCACGCCCGGGATGGGAACACGAGATCGAACTGTCGCACCACTGGACCTCACTGTACCGATTCTTTTCTGGATGGACACCCCATCCTGACAGCAGTCATCCTTGAAGCGAGTTTCAAGGATTGAGGCCCAGTAGAATATGGCACACATTTTGAGGAAAAAAAATCATCTTCTTATGGATTGCATTGCCTTTGTTCCCCTCCTGGCGATGGCACTCCACATGGCTCCGGACCACCTCCGACGCCACCTGCTCACCTCCACAGCTTCCTCTTCGGCCTGGGGCAGTTCGCGGCTCGCCGCGAAAGGATCGCCGGTCAGTCGAAGCCCTCAGAAATCAATCTTCTTGGATGAAAGAGTACCACCCTTCGCATGTGAGCGAGTTTGCCCTTTGAAACCTGAAGGAGGATACGAACACTCAATCAAAGCTGCATTGAAGACTTCAACCAAACAGGCACTCTCTGGGCAAACTGCGAAAAAGGCC